CGTGCTTTAAATGTTGTACTGTGGACATTTGTGTGCTTTCTGTGCAGAGGAGTATTTTTTGTTTCCTGTTCTCATGCTGTCCTCCTGTAGCCCAGCATGAGTAGAGGTCTCTTTTTTTCCTCTTGTACTTTCCCATTGTAGTGTACATTTCAGTGGTTTTTCTGTAATGCAACCGTTCTCTGACTTGTATCCCCATGTGATGTCTGTGTCGTGTGTGTAAGGTCGGGGGGCCGGTTCATTCCACTGCAGGGCAACCTGCCACTGCACGTGGCGAATAAAACTTGAACTTGAACTTCTGGCAGTTAGGTTTGGGTTGTTTGCTTATTTCAATAAAGGGAGTTTTACTAATCATGGACATGTCTATAACTGGGCCCATTAGTTTTGTAAGAATGCACTTAGAGAAAACCTGTCAGGTGACGATGTTTTGTGCTTTGATGAGCCAAAAATCAGCTCTCTTTTTTCTTCTTCTCATTTTTATTCTAAGCAGGCCTGCAAGATTGAATTAACAGCGCTGTAAAACATTTTCGGGAGAAGAAATATGAGGTGAGCTTTTCCAGATTATAATGGGCTGAGGAAAAGCCTAACTGTGGGAACCGATGAGCGTTTTAGTTCCCATCCAAAAGGATTGCAGCAAGTCAATCCAGTTAAAATATAATAAAGAACTCTTTTTCTAAAAAACAAAAAACAAATGAATGAGCTCATGTTGCTGAGGGTGGAGAATCTGATTACTTGCGTGGGAGTCTCCATTACCAGAAATATCTTGTGTGAATGCGTGTGAGTGAATGTGTGACTAAACTGTGATGGACTGACGATGTGGACTAAAGTTTTGACTGACTTGACACTGAGACAAAGACAGGACCAAGGTTAGGATGAGTAAATGTTGACAAACAATTCACCACGCTGGTAAGAGAAGGGTGACTGCTTTGCTTTGCTTTCCTTTGTTTTGCTTTGCCATGAGCAGGAGGAGAAGAGAGAACAGAGGGGAATAGTGTAGTTTCACATGAGTGTGGAGCTGCAGATTGAACCTTTCAGCTGCTAATTCTGGGTTGCTGAGGTTTCCTTTAAGAAAATTCTGTTTTATTGACTGGGTTTAGATTATGGTATTACATTATATTGTTGGGAAAAATGCCAAATGCTAAAGGGGAGAAAATTTTTAGAGGTTTTTTAAAGGTTTTTAGAGAAATAATATGATTAACCTTTTTGTCGAGTTTTAGGTCTGATTTGAAACAAGCAAGCAAGAAGGTCCTGAGTTAAATTCCACTATCAGGCCGGGGGCTTGCTGTGTGGAGTTTGCATGTTCTACCCGTGTTTGCGTGGGTTCCCTCTGGGTACTCTGGCTTCCTCCCACCGTCCAAAGACATGCAGCTTGTGGGGATAGGTTAATTGGATAATCCAAATTGCCACTAGGTGTGAATGTGCGAGTGAATGTGAGTGCGAATGGTTGTCTGTCCCTGTGTGTTGGCCCTGTGACAGACTGGCGACCTGTCCAGGGTGTACCCCGCCTCTTGCCCTATGATAGCTGGGATAGGCTCCAGCAACCCTGAAAAGGATAAGCAGAAGTGAATGGATGGATGGATGGATGGATGGATGGATGGATGGATTGATGACTCTTTGTGTGTTTGATAATTTAGGTATGGTAAAACTTAGGCAGCAATCATTATTTTCAGGTTTAAGCCAAAGGATTAAAGTGAACTGAATCCTTTTTTAGAAGATAAAATGCTGGTGTTCATAAGAAGCTGAATACCACAATCAAGGGAAAATTGTGTGACAGCAGCTTGAATAAAACATATGCTTCAGTGAAAGAAGGGAAGATGTTAGGCTTGGAAATGTTTGTTTTCTCTTTGATCTCTTTTATTAGAATAAGTGGTTATAATCATTTTCTTATACATATTGCAAAGTGTGCTCATGAAGAGTTAAGCATTCAGTTTTTCGAGGTTCATCTAGCGGGACTGTCCAGATGATACATGGTGAGAGGTAACTTAGAGTGGAATAAGGTCAATGCCAACACACTTACACACACAGAAATGATGTAGACCTATTTCTAGGGTAGAGATGAGACATATTTTTCTTGTAACTGCATTTGTGCCTGCAAAAGGAACAGTTTTGTACAAGACTAGCTCGAGATGTTCCAGAGATAAGTGTGAAGAGAGCAATGACAGGAAACACCTGGAGCGGGGACGGCGAAAATATCTCATTAAATGTGTGAAAGGTTGTCAAAAGAACTGTTGTGACCGTCACTAACTGTAACTTTTGCATGTTATGTAGATACATAACATGCAAAAGTTACAGTTAGTGACGGTCTTGGTTTCTTCGCAGCAGGAGTTATTTAAAACTTTCATTTGGAAAAAGTCAGTTTGGCCCTTTTAAAAAAAGTGAGCTATGGAGGTTCTTCATACTCAATTTATTTGCAGCTGCTGCCATAACATGTCTGGTCTCACCACGGTACCTGGTAGACAAAAACTATTGTGAAGTGTGCTTTCTAGTGGAGATTTAGGCTGATATGGTGATGGTATATGCCCCTTCCGAGCTAGAAGCATACTTTAACAGCTAAAATTCAGTGGCAGATCATCCTACCTTTGTTAACAACAGCTAGACACATACTTTAACGGGTAAAATGAAGTGGCAAACCATTCTGGCTGTATGAATATGAGCTACAAGAATACTCTGATGGGCAAAGTTAAGTGGCAAACCGTCATATCTACTTAAATTGGTGCTGGAATTACTCTTTTACGGCAGAAATGTGCATGAACTACTTACAGTAGGAAGTTTTGCCAAAGTAGGATGGTTTGTCACAACACCAAGTAAAGCGTTTGGACTTCATTAAGTTGGTTGAACCTCCAAAAGTTGAATCTGTTCATCTGGACGTAGCGTTTTGTGAGAAATATTTTGTCACTCATCCAAGTGACTTATTCAGTCTCAGCTGACTGCAATCTTATAAACAGTACATTTGCATAATGACTGAAACCAGCCTACTGGAGGAACAATGGGCTGGGAGAACAGTTCCTTAATCTTAATTATGCAAATTCTCATGACCATGATCAACAACCACTGACCAAAACCCACTGATCAATGGCCATGATCACCATTCACAGAGAGTTTGGGAACGGCTGCAATCACAGCATTGTAAGATGTTGAAATATGTACCCTTAGGCCCCCTCCTTGATTCAGAGATGCTCTTTCCCTTTTCACGTAAATGGCCTCCTTGACTCCCCGCTCAAACCAGCGTTCCTCCCTGTCCAAGATGTGTACATCCTCATCCTTGAAAGAGTGTCCACTATCCTGTAGGTGTAAATAGACTGCAGAGTCCTGGCCTGACGAAGTAGCTCTTCTGTGTTGTGCCATCCGCTTCGCCAGAGGTTGTTTGGTTTCCCCGATGTATAAATCCTGGCAATCCTCCTGTCACTTAACAGAGTAATGGGGCAACCATGGCTATGGGGCGACCGTGGCTCAGGGGGTTGGGAAGCGTATCTGTAACCGGAAGGTCGCTGGTTCGATCCCAGGGCTCTCTGTCCTGGTCGTTGTGTCCTTGGGCAAGACACTTTACCCTACCGCCTACTGGTGTTGGCCAGAGGGGCCAATGGCGCGATATGGCAGCCTCGCTTCTGTCAGTCTGCCCCAGGGCAGCTGTGGCTACAACTGTAGCTGCCTCCACCAGTGTGTGAATGTGAGAGTGAATGAATAGTGGCATTGTAAAGCGCTTTGGGTGCCTTGAAAAGCGCTATATAAATCCAATCCATTATTATTACACTATGTTACTCTGTTTGTGTAGTGGGACCTGATCCTTAGGGTGGACCAATTTTTGGCGCAGTGTGTTTTGGGGTTTAAAAGCCACAGAGACGCAGTGTTTAGAAAAAATGCATCTCACCTGCTCTGAAACTCTGACACATATGGGATCACCACAGGCTTTTGCTAAAGAAAGGGTTGTCCTTCTCTCCTGGATTGGCTAGGAGCTTTCTTTAGGAGCCTTTCCAGCTTTGACAAAATTCCAGCTGGGATAACCACATTTACTCAGGGCCTTCTTCATGTGCTGTTCTTCTGCCTCCCTGGCCGCTGTGTCAATGTTGATGGTGTTCGCTCTGTGTTGTAGCGTCCTAATGACACCCAGTTTGTGCTACAGTGGATGATGAAAGTCAAACCTTAGATACTGATACGTGAAGTTCACTTCTGTCCGATGACAGTGATTCTGAGGTGAGTAGAGGAGGATATCCTGAACTTTGCTGTTTTTATGTACTCCTATTTTTGCCACTATTAGCTGCTTTTAGCCAGCATTATTGAAACTTAGTACATCAAATACAATCCTGCTCTTTATAAGAAAGAAAGTTTGATTCTTTTAAGGCCACTCAAGACAAATATTAGTTGGGATTATGTTAGCTCATAACCAGATGCTGCTGTTGTTGTTTAGCCAGCTCACACCTGTTGTCTGGAGAGGGGATAGTTGTGTGTCTTATTTGATGACAATAAGTAACATAATAGTATCAGGAATAGATAAACATCTATAAGCATGTTTTCTGTTAAGGCCCCTGACTTCAGTTCGGGATATGTGGCTTGACGTGGGGGGGAAAATGATGCCAGTCATGTGGTGTAGGTAACCCCTTCTTAGGTGATAAAACATATGCATAACAGAAGTTATAAATTGCCTCAACAGCACATGTCTACAATTTTCGTCCTCCTCTGTAATTTGTTTGTGGCTAGTCTCTACCCACACACATAGTATACAAATAGTCAGAACAGTGATGTCTATCTCAGCCACTGTAGTCAAGATGGCAGGACGGTGGTGTTTACAAACCAGCTTCTGCTCCTATGTACTTTTAATGACTCAATTTGAAAGAAGATGTAATTACACATTACTCTGTACAATTACAATATTACAAAATATTTTATTCTATTAAATAAACTAAATAAAATGAGTATACCTTTAAACGTTCAATAAGCCTAACACAGGTTTTCTCATTTTTGGAAACACACACACACAAGTCAACAAACAAAACATAGTACCTCACCTCAAAGTCTCCAGTCTACATTGTTGACTCTCCAGAAAAACACACAAGTGTCTCAACCCAGCATCCTGCAGCTTGTTAAAACTCAGGTCTAGATGTGTCAGATGGAAGGGGTTGGAATTCAGAGATGATACCAGGTATTTACAGCTCATCTCTGAAAACTCGCACTGCATCAACCTGGATAAGAATGAAATAAGTCATCCACCAGAAATTTTGTAAAAATATTGCTCAGGTATCTATGGACCTGTATATGAAGCTTTTCTGAATATAGGAGTAACAGGTAATCTATGCATGAACCCGAATTGCAACTCCAGGACCACATGGATGTAAATAAATTTAATTAAGGAAGAGTGACCAAATGACACATCTGGTGCTCTCAGTTCAAATTAGACTTTGATCATTGTAATTAGTACCAAAATATTTTACAATCCACAGAATCACAGAGTTAGTAAGACAGAGATTGGAGATTTATTTTGATCTAAAAAACCCTAATCCCTAACCTTGAGCTAATAGTAAATCCACAATGTCCGCCCTAACCCTAACTTCCTCCCAGTTGGACACGCCCGGAACACCTCACCCAGGACATATCCAGGAGGCATCTTGTCAGATTCCCGAACCAACTCAACTGGCTCCTTTCAATGTGAAAGAGCAACGGCTCTACTCTGAGCCCCTCCCACATGACCAAACTTCATACCCTCTCTCTAAGGAAGAGGCCAGCCACCCTTCGTAGGAAGCCAATTTCTATGATCTTGTTCTTTCGGTCACTACCCACAGCTCGTGACTATATGTGAGGGTAGGAGCGTAGATCAAGTGGTAAGTTGAGAGCTTCACATTTACACTCAATTCTCTCTTCACTAAAACAGACCTGTAGAGCGCCCGCATTACTGTAGCCACAGCACCAATCCGTCTGTCAATCTCATGTTCCCTTCTCCCGTCACTTGTGAACAAGACCCAGACATACTTAAACTCTTTCACATGGGGCAAGAACTCGTCCCTGACACAGAGTGGGCACTCCACCCTTTTCTGGCTGAGGACCATGGCATCAGATTCGGAGGTGCTGATTATGATTCCCATCGGTTCACACTCGGCTGCGAACTGTTCGATGGCCAGCTGGAGGCCATCACCCGATAAAGCAAACGGAACCACATCATACGCAAAAAGCAGAGATGGGATTCTGAAACCACCCAAGCCTTCCAATACTTGGCTACACCTAGAAATTCTGTCAATACAAATTATGAACAGAATCAGTGAATCAGGAACCCATCACCCACCAGAGATAAGTCCAACTTAATGCTGGCTCTGTGGACCAAGCCCTTGCAATGGCTGTATGAGGACTGAACGGCCAGTAGCAATGGGCCAGACACCCCATACTCCTGGAGCACCCCCCGACAGGACACCCCAAGGGACACAGTTGAATGCCTTCTCCAAGTCCACAAAACACATGTAGACTGCTTGGGCAAATGCCCATGTCCCTTAAGTGTCTTTGAGAGGATGAAGAGCTGATTCAGTGTTCCAGGACCAGGATGAAAACCGCATTGTTCCTCTGTATCCGAGGTTTGACTAACAAACGGAGTCTTCTCTCCAGCACCCTGGCATAGACCTTTCCAGGGAGGCTGAGGAGTGTGATTACCCTGTAGTTGGAACACACCCTCCGGTCCCATTTCATAAAGATGGGAACCACCACCCCAGCCTGCCAATCCAGGGGTACTGCCCCTAATCTCGATGCAACATTGTAGAGGCATATAAACCTTCTTCTTCTTCCAGCGCTGTCATGGATCGGCTGTGTGGCAGGCGGGAGGAGGACCCAATCGCAAGATTCACAAACACGGGGATGAACTCAAAAGCAGCTTTATTGCTGACAGGCAGAACATAGGAAATACAGAACTCAACTAAACTGGGAATCAATAAACTAACAGTCGTAGGGAGACACAGGGAATCCACACAGCAATGAGGGAGAACGCGACGCCGAACAGAGGGAGACGCAGACAGAAATACACAGAGGGTTAACGAGGAAAGTGGGAACACACGGGGAACACAGCTGACACAGATAACCATAACGAGACAGGGCGGGTTGAACATAACACTGACGGGAGACAGGCAGAGTCAAACAGGAAGTACAGAGGTTCAGACAGGAGGAGAGAGAGCACGGGGAAAACACAGACATAACGGGCTGGGGAAACATGGAACAACCACAAGGGGAGACGAGGGCTCATAAATACACAGAGGGCACACAGGGGGGAGAGAGAGCACGGGGAGAACTTAGACATAACGGGCAGGGGAAACATGGAATAAAACATAAGGAGAGACGAGGGCTCACAGATACACAGAGGGGCACACAGGGGGTAAAAGCCACGAAGGGAAAACACTTAGGGAACAATACAACAGGGCAACTCAGGAAACATGGCCTAAATAGGGAACAAAATACAAACATACAAGAAAACTAAGAATACTGGGCCAACATGGCCCAGGACCATGACAAGCGCCCCTCGCGTGCGGCAGCCTGTTGCAGCAGCTCTGCTCATTCTGAGTTTCTTTCTTTCTCCTCTTTATTTTCTCGTAGTGTTTTGTAACTAAAGTATTAGCAATTAGATTCAGCAATCATGTTCTACCGTTTTGTGCTAGTCATGGTCATTTTTCTCTGTTTTTTCTTTCACTTTTTTCACCTGTGTTTGGGGACCCTGCGCAGGGACCCTTTGTTTACAGTAGGGATCAGCTGTTAGCACTGCGTCCCGCAGCGGTACTGCTGGCGGACAGACTCGACATTCCCAGCAAGCTGAGGAGGAAAAGACAGGAGTGTCGTGCTGGTAGGGAGCGCCGTCACCCAAGACGGAGACGTTATCGACCATCTCTTCCTTCTGTAATCATTGGAAACGTAAGATCTTTTCCCAATAAGATGGATTAGCTCACGTCGCTAACCTGGTCACAGAGGGAGTACCAGCAATGTAGCATCATGATGCTAACGGAGTCGTGGCTAACACCGCTTACACCAGACACGAGCGTGACGCTACCAGGATTCCAGCTGCTGCGAACGGACAGGATGAGAGAGAGTGGTAAGAGGAAAGGAGGGGGACTGGCAATGTTTGTGAATGAAAGATGGTGTAACCCTGGGCACATCACTGTGAAAGAACAACTCTGCAGCAGAGACATTGAGCTGTTAGCCGTTAGCATGTGTCCATACTACCTCACCAGGGAATTCTCGCATGTTATCGCGATGACAGCGTATGTCCCCCCTTCAGCCAACACAGATGCAGCCTGTTACTCTCTCCACTCTGTGGTCAGCAAACTGCAAACTCAATCTCCGAGAGCCCTTCTTTTAATATCAGGAGACTTTAATCATGCCTCACTGAACTCCACAGTGCCCACCTTCACCCAGTATGTGACATGCCCCACCAGCGAAAATAAAACACTGGCCTTACTGTATGCCAATGCAGAAGAGGCATAAAGCTCATCACCTCTCCCTCCCCTGGGCAGATGTGACCACAAACTGGTGTACCTTGTCCCTGTGTATGAACCCTTAGTGCGCAGGGAGCCACCAACCACCCGCAAAGTACAGAGATGGTCGGAGGAGAGCGAGGAGGCTCTTAAGGATTGTTTTGAGTCGACTGTGTGGGAGGTGATCTATGACGACCACGGAGAGGACATCAACAGCCTGGTGACATGCATTACGGACTATATAAACTTCTGTGTGGATAACACCATGCCTACCAGGACTGTGCAGTTTTTCTCCAATAACAAACGCTGGATTAACCCAGAAATTAAAGCCATCCTTAAGCAGAAGAGAAGGCCCTCATATCTAGGGACCAAGAGGAGTTAAAAATGGTGCAGAGAGATCTGAGAGGACTGATAAGGAATGGGAAGGACAGCTACAGGCAGAAGATGGAGAAACAGCTTCAGCAAAACAACGGTGGCGAAGTCTGAAGAGGCCTCAGAACCATCTCGGGCCACAAAGGTCAGAACTCTCTGCCTGGGAGGGATGTGAGGTGGGCAAATAAACTGAATCATTTCTTCAACAGATATGATTCATCCATGAGGCAGTCTCCAACATCGGCTGCAGACTCCCCCTCCCCCACAACTCCTGTCTTACCTCTGACACCTCAGACACTTCACACCTCCTCTACTCACCCTGTTCACTCCTCCCCACCCCCAACAACAGCATCCAATACAAAGTCAACACAAGGCTCCAGCCTGTCTCTCTCAACCACCCAGGTTTGGAGGGAACTGAGGAGGATTAAAGCCAAGAAGGAGCATCTCTTCAACCTGAGCCTGAGGCTGGGGAGTCCCACAGCTCTGGAAAATCTCCTGTGTTGTACCAGTGCCAAAGACTTCACGCCCCAAGGACCTTAACTGCTACAGGCCGGTGGCTCTGACATCCCACCTGATGAAGACCCTGGAGCGGCTGGTCCTAGCTCAGCTTCGGCGCCTGGTGAGCTCATTACTGGACCCACTTCAGTTTGCCTACCAGCCTGCTATTGGAGCGGACGATGCCGTCATCCACCTCCTACATCGTTCCCTCGCTCACCTGGAGACCGCTGGGAGCACTGTGAGAAACATGTTCTTTAATTTCTCCAGTGCCTTCAACACCATTCTTCCCACGGTCCTGAAGGACAAGCTGGAGAACTCAGGAGTGGACCATCACCTCACTACATGGATTTTGGACTATCTCACCGACTGAAAACATTATGTGTGAACTAAGGGCTGGAGAGATTTCGCAGGTCTTTCCTCCCCACTGCTGTCAGACTCCACAACAAAGATTCCAAATGATCAAACACACACATCCACACATGTGCAATAAGACTGCTATATGTGCAATTCTCTTTCTGACAAAGTTGTACTTTTGTATTTTCTTACTCAGTTGTATATAGCATTTGTATTCTATTTTATTCTATTGTATATATTATTCTATTTTATTCCATTGTCGGAGTTTGCATGTTCTCCCCGTGTTTGCGTGGGTTCTCTCCGGGTACTCCGGCTTCCTCCCACCGTCCAAAGACATGCAGCTTGTGGGGATAGGTTAATTGGATAATCCAAATTGTCACTAGGTGTGAATGTGAGTGTGAATGGTTGTCTGTCCCTATGTGTTGGCCCTGCGACAGACTGGCGACCTGTCCAGGGTGTACCCCGCCTTTCGCCCTATGACAGCTGGGATAGGCTCCAGCGCCCCTCGGGACCCTGAAAAG